CTCTTTCACACGTACCTCACATTAGGGTCCTTCTAGGTGCAATTTGCTCTAAAAGTGCTGATCGGTGTTTGCTTGCCTTACGTTTCCTTGGTGATAGGGATGTAAAGCAGTCTCTGTTGACCATTAACAGGACCCAGCAAGAGACGAGACGCACATGAAATATCCATGTTGTTATCTCGACTACGTGTAGGCGATTGAGTCTGAGAATTGGATAGGATGGCCAAGTCTTAGAGGAGATTCATTGCTCACTTCACAGCTTGACGAGTTGATGACAGTATTCAACACTCACATCAATAAACAGGATTTGGTGGATGAAAGAAAGGTAGTCATGCCTAGAGTTGAACAAAATTAGAGTTGGTTGATAAGATTACTTAACCAACAACATGTCAAGATAAAATGCCAATGTGGTTCTTAAATTTGAGAGTTTCCCGCATTTATTTGTCTTAGATTGAAGACGTTTGTTTAAATTTAGAGTTAGGGTTTAGACAAAATATATTTTAATACGTTGTTTGATAACGCCTTGGGTTCAAAGATACTGTAATGGACTTTTCCCCTGTTTTTTGGATGTCAAATTAATCAGGGATAAAGTTGCTGTAGGACTTTAATTATGTTAATACGTTTACAACTAGTTGAAGCAATAAAAAAAGTAGCTGTGGGGATATTTAATATTTTGGAAAGCCATTTAGACACACCAGGTTTGTCTTCATTAGTCTACTGTGGCAATACAAGTCTTCTGTTTGAACATAACTGTGGAGTTGGACTGGAAAAATGACAGCATGATATAGTGAGTGCTTCAAGACTGACTCGCAGCATTGATCCAGTGTATGTTCAGTGTCCATTGTGTGGATAATAAGGAGACTAACAAGGTATTTGGGGTCACCGAGTTGACCTTGTATCTTGAAAGGGAAGTTACATTTGTACGGCTGCCATATTCACAGAGTAAGCATGCAGAGACAAAACCTGTTTTTCTGCCGGTAGTGTTGGCAGGAGCTCACAATAACTACACACACACTTATAGAGAAGACTTCTTCACTTCGTCTGGGGGGTGTTTCATTGAGGGATATAGTGACTTACACTGGGCTTGTTTCAGTAGGGCAGGATGGTTTTCAGGAAATATCGGTTTCATAAAAGGTGACTAAACTAATCTGGTCAAGCCAGTTTTAACGTTTAGCTTCAGCTCAAGCTTAGCCAGCGTCAGACGGTCGTTATCTCTACAAAAATGTTACAAGGAAGTTCGATGTTTCGTCTACATTGCATTTGTTTGTAAGAAGAATTAAAAATCCTACATCTTAAATATGCTTGTGGCTGACCACTTCACACTTATCAAAGTCACAATCTTTCAGTTTGTGTGTACAGACAGATCGTAATTCCCACAATCCCGAATACAAAAATATATAAAAATATGTATATATCCTTATGTCTTTACACGTCTGTTTCACACATTTTGCATTTACTTGATCAATGCTGCATGCTTCAGAAACAGGTTTCAGTCATTTAATAAACAAGACACGACTCGCTGACTCATTAGCTCCGAGTTGGCTTTCTATAATGATTGAATCCAGGTTTCCGATTGTTAGGCGTCAAAACAGGCTTTTCACAACAAGCTTTTCTAAGCAATTCGTCTACAAACACCGACACGTCCTTGAATATAAATCAACCCTGAAATGTTTAAACAATTGATGCAAGGGAGGCTCATAGAGTATTGGATTGTATTGCCTTGTCTCCATTTCTTGTCTCTTGGTTGATCTACTTTTGTTATTCAAGTGTTGTGTTGATATGATATACGCCGGTTTCAGTGTCAAAACATATTTGTTATTCGAACAGCCCTGATCAAAAACGACTTTCTATGTTAGGTTTAATGTTGTGATGCTGCATTTTCATTTTCAGTGAAGGTTGCATCTGGCTTAAGTGTACAGTGTATCGCTATAAGATGTTTTACAGCTGTACTAAAAAGGTCCAAAATCACACATTGAAATGGCAACCTTAACATTAATGCTTTGTTTTTCTGCAGTACATTAGATTTGTTTGAGTTATTTATTATATTTGGCTACAACACAAAACATTGTCATCATTATTTTTGACTTTTCTCAGCAAAATCGGCTATTTTTCCTGTAACTTCAGTTGCTTTTCCCTCATTTAGTTTTAGTTAAGTCCTGATACTATAGGTGTAATTCACACACATACAGAGAAATGTGTGTCAGTTGCAACCATGTCACACTTCTGAAGTGAACCGTAGCAATCAGGTTAGTGACAAAAGGCCTTTATATGATGAAACCTTAGACCCAACTCTCTGAGCCTGTAGTATATATCGGCTGCTTTTGGGTTGGGACTTGTTGCAATATTTAGCAGCAGCTTGGATCAGTTTCCCTGCAGGTGAGCCCAAACCGGTCTGATCAGGTTTCTACAGCTGGGTCACAGACCGTGAAGAGGATCTGTCTTCACATAAACCACTTCTCATCACCAAGGGGATACTTAGCCATTTCCCAACAAAGGAATATCACTCATCAGCGGTGAAAGAAGTATTCAGATCACTTATGTAAAAGCACCAATGCAATAATGTACATGTTGTCCATAACGAGTAAAAGTACCAATGCAATAATGTACATGTGGTCCATAACGAGTAAAAGTACCAATGCAATAATGTACATGTAGTCCATAACGAGTAAAAGTACCAATGCAATAATGTACATGTAGTCCATAACGAGTAAAAGTACCAATGCAATAATGTACATGTAGTTCATAACGAGTAAAAGTACCAATGCAATAATGTACATGTGGTCCATAACGAGTAAAAGTACCAATGCAATAATGTACATGTAGTTCATAACGAGTAAAAGTACCAATGCAATAATGTACATGTGGTCCATAACGAGTAAAAGTACCAATGCAATAATGTACACGTAGTCCATAACGAGTAAAAGTACCAATGCAATAATGTACATGTGGTCCATAACGAGTAAAAGTACCAATGCAATAATGTACATGTAGTTCATAACGAGTAAAAGTACCAATGCAATAATGTACATGTGGTTCATAACGAGTAAAAGTACCAATGCAATAATGTACATGTAGTCCATAACGAGTAAAAGTACCAATGCAATAATGTACATGTGGTTCATAACAAGTAAAAGTACCAATGCAATAATGTACATGTGGTTCATAACAAGTAAAAGTACCAATGCAATAATGTACATGTGGTCCATAACGAGTAAAAGTACCAATGCAATAATGTACACGTAGTCCATAACGAGTAAAAGTACCAATGCAATAATGTACATGTGGTCCATAACGAGTAAAAGTACCAATGCAATAATGTACATGTAGTTCATAACGAGTAAAAGTACCAATGCAATAATGTACATGTGGTTCATAACGAGTAAAAGTACCAATGCAATAATGTACATGTAGTCCATAACGAGTAAAAGTACCAATGCAATAATGTACATGTGGTTCATAACAAGTAAAAGTACCAATGCAATAATGTACATGTGGTTCATAACAAGTAAAAGTACTAATGCAATAATGGTAGAAGCTGCAGTACATTCAGAACAGCGCTGCTAGGATCCTGATTAGGGTGCGCAAATATGATCACATCACCCCCATCCTTAAAGCACTACACTGGCTCCCCGTGGAACTGAGGATCGAATTCAAGGTCTCCGTCCTCACCCACCAGTGTGTCCATGGAACTGCCCCTCCCTACCTCAAGGAACTCCTCACCACCCATACCTCCTTGCGGACCACCCGCTCCAGCAACTCCAACTTGCTCAAACCCCCCAGGACTAAGCTCCGTACTATGGGAGACCGGGCCTTCTGCTCGGCTGCTCCCAGTCTGTGGAATGCTCTCCCCGACCACATGAGCACCACAGACCGTGGAGGCTTTTAAAAAAGGCCTCAAAACCCATCTCTTCAAAAGAGCCTTTGCCTAGACCTTTTTACCACCCTTTTATTTTATTTGTATTGCTTTTTATTAAATTCTACCGTGTTGTGTAATGTCTATTTATACTGTTCATGCTCACTGCTTGTAGCACTTCGGGATTTGAAATCAAATATGAAGTGCTTTATAAATGGAACCCATTATTATTATTATTATTACATGTAGTCCATAACGAGTAAAAGTACCAATGCAATAATGTAATCCTACCCAAATACAAGTAGTAAAAAATATCAAAGTGAACATCACATGCCAAAAATGTTGGGACACTTGGTTCGTCTTGAACTTTTATAACACATGTTATAAGCTTATCATTGATTGTGATGGTAACATCATGATTTAAAAGCTTTCAGATCAACAAAGTGGAGTTAAGACTATAGTATTTAGCTATGAATTGTAATAGAGTACAGGTTTCATGATGGAAATAAGTCCTAGGCTTGGTCCCGTTATCACTGAAAATGCCATAGCGAGGTCACAAGCGTAGTTCCATTTTGTGAAAAAGACGAAGTAACATAAAATGGGAATACACGAGAAGTATATCAGAGTTGTACCAAAGTAGAAGAAGACACACTTTACCAACGGGGAAATTAAAGTAGAGTACTTCAGTAAAGGTACTGAGTTACTTTCCAATAGGGTAATTTTTACTGATATTGTAATTACGATATGATTCACAATATTGGAAGGATTTATATTTCATTCCAATGATAAGTCTCATGTAATATATCAAGAGGATCGGAACCAAAGAAGTGTGTTTTGTTGAGTCTGTGTAATATGATTTGTAAGCCGATATATCTACATATTATCCATTAGTATATTTAACACATATTTAGCCTTTAACAAATACTGTGCTTCCTGCTATTTTAATATTGCACTAGTCTTCAATGCTATTTTGGTAATATTTTGCAACTCTCCTTTCCTCCATAAGTAATTCCTACCTCAGCAGCGTTATCATCCAACACAACACTTGGCTTTAGGTTTAATTATAAACAGAAAAGCAGCAAACCAAGGCAGTGCTGGAGTATGGAAAGAAGGTGGATTAAAGTACTTGGTGATGGGATTGGAAACTAACCTTTTAATCCATCCGATTGCAGGCGTCCTGAGAAAAGTGCATCTCTTCCAAGACAGCAAGGCACAGGTCACAGTTTCACACACTGGTTATTTCCTGTTGAGAAAAGACAAAAAGCAAAATCATGAGGCGTTTGTCCGATGCTGGAAGGCTCCATTTCATTTTAAAACGGTGTTGTTTTGACAAACCAAATAGCATCAATAGGCGCTTTCACACCAAGTATTTTGCCATACTTAGTTCCCAGTACTTAGTTCATCAGAAGTCTTTAGTTCTGATGAACTAAAGAGCAGATCGCGTTCACACCGGAATAAGTCCCTGAGGGAAGATTAGGCAAATGAAGCCGCTGACGTCACTTTTTCTGCTTTGGGTTTACTGGCAGGCCGCAAACAACTTCACGGTGTACGTATACTGCCACCCGAAGTCCCCGGCCGGAAGTCCCCGGAGTTGGGGACTGGCTTCAGTAGAAGCTGCTGGGACTCCCGAGTAAATCGCCAGAACGCCGACACCTCCTCATCTCCACCGCTCCCATGTTTGTTTTTGTGTTGCCATAAGTTAGTCTCTCTCTGTTGGTGCGCTGGGCTAATGCTAATAATGCTAATGCCAGCAAATAAAATGGCGGCTTCACAAAACTTTTCCGAGTTTTACGGGGCGTGGTTTGCAATCCGCCCAGCCAATCAGAAATGGGAACCTTTTTCTCCCCAGGATAGTCCCTGCTCTCTAGCAGGGACTAAAAAGGTTCTCGTTAACTAAGTTCTAGTCCAGATTTGTTTGGTGTGTACGCAAAATGTCAAGAACTATCGGAACTATACTGGGAAAAGTACTCCGGTGTGAAAGCACCTTATGTTTGTTTTGAGAGTCAGTACATATGTGCCGTTTTAAAGTAGTGTAGAAAGATGTGCTCCTCATGTATTAACAATGGTCTGCAAAGCATCTTAATGAGCTCAAACACTGAACACTCCACGGCACGATTAGAGGTAATGGTCTGATATAATGTTTTGCATTATACATACTAAGTGCCATTTGAGTGCAGGGGGGGGGGTTGTTCTTCTGGGAATATCTTTGATGGTTTGGGTCCAGTTCAAATTCAGGCTGAGATAAAGCAGTGATAAAAAGAGATAAGAAGGGAAAGAGGAGGAATAACTTCGGCCCTTTTCAATATTCATGAGCCATGTCAATGGTAATGTTCACCAAATGTTAAGACTAGTCCTCTTTAAACATTAAAGAGACCGAGTGTACTCTCCCCTGGCTGCCATTGGCAACTTAAGTCTGTGATCAGGCCAACAAATACTGCGGCAGCGATGCTGAGGGGTGCAAAAACACACATTTCAGAATATAAAAAAGGTGTCAGTACAGCTTTGCGATATGAATGAGGTACTTTCAAGAGTTATGAATGAGTGTCTAAGGTAAGGATGACAGACAGGAGACTACTAGACTGTGGTCAAGCTCTACTTTACTCCTCTAAAACTCGATGAAGTACTCAGTGTCGGCTGCTTTTCCTTCACAAGTGTAGCGTCAGTGGAGGAGTTGTTCTATCAGGAGCCACTAGCTGTATTTAAAGAAAAATGCAAAACTCTGTGAGGGATGTTATCTTGATGATTACGAATTCAAATGAGCACAGAATGTTTGGTGCCGGATTGGTGCACAGCGAGTGTGAATAGCCCCATAGTCGTGAATGTACAAAGTGACCCTCTTAAAGACCTAGAAAGTAGAGACTTACAGGATATCAATAGCGTAGTGCAGAGTCCTAAAATCCCCAAATCACTTAGCATTTAAATCACAGCCAGTTCCTGTGTCAGTCGTTAAAATACTAGACAGCTAACGACAGGTCAAACAGGGACTCTGAGCTAAATTACTGCTCTAATGGCTTTTGAAATGATCCACTGATTCAATATGGAGGCAACGGGGTGCAAATGATATTAGAGCAAACACATGCAGACAACTAACAGATCCCTGTGTGTGCGTGTGCGTGTGCGTGTGCGTGTGCGTGACACAGCGGGATAGCTTACACCGAAGCCTTCTCTCCAATAACCCTCACCACCCGTTTGCTCCCTCGTTCAGCTCCAGTAACAGCCAGGGTGTGGAAACAAAAGTCAAGGTGATGCGAGGAAGCAGTCTTTGCTATAAGCTGTGAAGGTTTCTCAACTTGAGGCAATAAAAACACTATCAAATGGGGGAATTACAACAAAAGGTTACAGCCTTTACTTCACGCCGGGTTTAGTGGCTAAGCAACAAACGTAAAAAAAGTAACTCAAAATGAAACTACCGCTGAGGCTACAGGTACAGTATTTTACACAGGGATTCAATCCAATGTGAAAGCAAAAATAACATCATTGGTGCATTTTAATCCCCGTGGTTTACCCTGGTAAAAAAAAACGTAATCATTTTCCATTGCCCGGACACACCTGACATAAACACCTACGTAAATAATGAATATTAGTCCAATTACTATGTATACAAACCGCAAGAAAACTCATGTTTATCTGATAAAGAGACATATTATGTTCACTTTCAGGTTCATATCAGTATTTAGTGTCTCTACTGAGATATGTCTCCATGCTTAAATGTTCAAAAAGCTCTTTATTTATCCTCATACTTCCATTTTATCATCCGCTGATGATTAAAGAGGACAATCAGTAACTGAGGTATAACTCAATTTTAGCCCTAAAGCACTTGGGAGCAGTTAATCATGCTCCACGAGAGGAAAGGAGGGAAACTGGGGGGTTATGGAGAGCTGGAGCTTTTAATGACTTGACAGTTTTAATGATGGTTACAGGGAAGAAGGGTGAAGCATTTATCAGTAGGAGGCCCCTGGGAGACTACAGCCCTCAATCCTTTCTGCCTCATCTACCTTCTCTTCAAAAACATTCTCATTCTCCCAATCACGTCTATTGTCTGAGTTGTATACGGGGCCTATGATGAAAAAGTGGACTATTAAATTGTACAAGAAAGATGCATACAAAGTGAAAATGTGTTGTGAAGATTGATAACTGTTCAAAAAGCTCCTGGGTGCTTCCTCACCCCCTCCTCCTTGTGATGCTGAATGCAACCGACTGCTGAAGTAAATACATCTCCAAATAGTTCACAGCTCAGACCGAAGATTGGTAAATGTGTGAACCCATAACCTCCCAGAGCGCGACGCACAGCACGGTGTTCAGCAGGCCGCTCGTAAATATGGCTGCAATAAGAAAGAGAAAATGTGGTTCATTTATATCGCCACAGGAAAACTGATTTAGTTTTTTTTACTCTTTATCAGAACTTTGGGTCAGCCGAGTCAAACAAGGACAAGAGCTTACTTTGTTTTCTGTGAACATGGAATAGAAATGGCTAGACGATCTACAGGTATGAATGCAGAAACCTAGAGTATTCACTTAAAGAGGCCCCATTATGCTTTTTGTAGTTTCCCTTTTCCTGTAGTGTTATATAAGTTTGTGTGCATGTAAATGGTCTGCAGAGGCTACAATCCCTGATTTCCCCCCTTTCCTCCCTGAAACACCTCCATCGGACTCCTTTGTTTACCTCTGTAACATGACATCACTATGTAACACTCGCTCTTCTATTGGCTAGCGCTCCAACTAGGGGTGCATACCGGTTCCCGGTATTACCGAAATACGGGTTACTGGCGGCTACGGTATACCGTACAGAAATCAGATCCGGTTTTCAATACTTTATTATTTATTTATTTGTTATATTAGGCGTAATATCCATAAACTCACGCCCAAACCGCCAGCCAATCAGATTGCGCGTCTTGCAACGGCTTCGGTGATTGGCTTGATTGCCAAGCAACGCCCTTCACCTTCCTCCCGAACGCCTGAGCCTTTCGGTTAACTTTCGTTTTTTCATTAGCTCAATGTCGGCACGAAAATCTAAAGTGTGGCTGCATATGACTGAATGATGGGGTCTGTAACCACTGCCAGTCTGAATGGTGGGGTCTGTAACCACTGCCAGTCTGAATGGTGGGGTCTGTAACCACTGCAAGAAGTTTATTTCTGGGAAAGGCGGCAACACATCCAACCTCTCAAAACATTTGCTACTGTACCATAAAATCAGAGTACATGAATGTACAGTCTTCAAGCCTGTGTTGTCAAACGTGTTTTTCATTGTTCGTTCAGTACTAAAAGGTTGAAGTCCACAATTAATTGTAATATTCATTTGACATGTTAACTATATCATAAAGCGCTTGAATTTTTCCCTTATGCAACATGAAAGTATCACGATATGTATCGGTCGAGTATCGGTATCGTTCAGTGGTATCGGTAATTCGGTATCGTAAAAAAGTCAGCGATATGCAACCCTAGCTCCAACACATTGTATGCGATAGGCTAAGGGGCGGGACATCTCTAAGCTGTTGACCAATCACAACAGACTGGGCTCTGGTTTCAGACAGAGGGTGAAAAGAGGTGCTGCAGCACAGGCAGTATGAGAAAAATAAAGAGCTTTTTGAACATTAAAGCATGGAGACATGTCCCAGTAGAGACACTACATACTGATATACACCTGAACATCAGCAGGAGAGGACTCTTTAAAGTAGAGACACTACATACTGATATGAACCTGAACATCAGCAGGAGAGGACTCTTTAAAGTAGAGACACTACATACTGATATACACCTGAACATCAGCAGGAGAGGACTCTTTAAAGTAGAGACACTACATACTGATATACACCTGAACATCAGCAGGAGAGGACTCTTTAAAGTAGAGACACTACATACTGATATACACCTGAACATCAGCAGGAGAGGACTCTTTAAAGTAGAGACACTACATACTGATATACACCTGAACATCAGCAGGAGAGGACTCTTTAACTTCACTAATGGATAAAGTCAATTGTATAGACTGGTCTTCCTTATTTGGTGAAGTTAATTGACCGCATTATTCCATCAGTGTTCTTTAGTCTCCTACTTGATTATATTTAACTCAGACGTTTTCCCACAGAACATTTGTTTTCTTAAATGTTTGCCCTGCTTGTGTTTGTCATGTTTCCATGTGTTTGAGTGTTACTCTGATGCATTGTTGGGTGTCCTTGGGTGTCATGAAATGAGTCTCCAAAGAAAATCTATTATGATTTGTATTAATATCACTATACCTGCACA